ATGTATTGTGTACACAAATTTCTAGACGTAGGAAAATACATAAAAACAAGGAAGGTGTTTACAAAACAATATTGTTCAACACAATCAAGGATTTCTGCATTAATATTTAGTCTTTGTTGTAAACAGACATGAGAAATCAATTTTGATATTTGCTGGATACAAAAAAAAAAACAGAAAAGCAGGAAAAGAAAGTGAGCATCATCCTCATACTCGTTCCAGAGCCTCCAACATGATTATACTGTTTCCTCTGATCACCTGAAGAGACACAAAAACAAAAGAGCATTCATCATTGCACAGAATAAATCACATAACATAAGTCTCTCAAAATAAACGTAGATCTAAGAAATCAGCAAATCGTGGTGGAAATGTGAGAAGTGAGTATCTGTCTATTTGTTGATCTTTGTGTGATATATTGAATCTCCATTATGATTTAAATATAACAATTGAACTAATATCTGAACATAGTGTCTTTCTATATGATACAAGTGCCAGCTAGTTATGTTTCACCATGAGTTTTGTAATATGTTTGATACTAGATTGTGGTATTAAGTACTGACCACCATCCCAATATTGTTCATTTGTCCCCCAGGAGCCATTTCTATCGAGTCATCAACGACCAGATTCATGAAGGGATCAAATCCACGCAAGACGCCCTGAACATGACGGCCACCATTGAGCTTCACTGAAGGTGTGCATGAAAACAATGTCTTTACAAAACAAACGCACAAAGAGGCCATTTGAAGTGACAGTGATTCGGAACAGAGATATCGTGGAGTTTAACGCATGCTGTAGAACATTCATTTAGATAAGTGTATTATTCATCTGCACATACAAGATCACAATCAAATACTGTTGAAATAAACTATTTTTTAGGAAAAAAATATTATTACGAAGGCTTTCAGATTTCCTGCATAATATTTTGTGAGAAAATCACACATAATACTCACGTGAAAGCTTCTTGTCCATAAACCTAAAAGGAAAACACAAAACAGATATTAAAAACACAATACTAATCTGACCTATACAGATACTGCACCTAACATTCAAACCTAATTCTTATGAACGTGTAATAAAATTGAAATCAATAGCAGGTGGGTTTTGTGCGTTAAATGAGAATAATATAATATACGTTAGTTGTGAAATAACTGCAGGCAAACCGGCTAACCTAGCGCAGAAGAACGCGACGCTCAAATGTAACTTATCGCATTTCTAAGAGACCTACGATCAAAAGGCTTGAAATACTTACTTTTTCAGCTCGGGCGGGTGTGCTTTGCTCATGTTTATTTCGTTAGATCAAATAGTTTTGTAAAACAAAAACGTTTGAAACACGTTTCAAACAATGTATGAACAGTGGCGGAAGTGCTGTACTAGGCACTAGGTCGCGGGATTTTCTGTACCAGTCACCGTGTGCAATATCGCCCCCTACTTTAGCGGAGGACGAACTTCAATAACATTAAAAAGTGTAATGTCGATGGTTTGTAGGAAAAACGAAATATTCTACCTCAAATTTTAATGCCATATTTGCGCTACTGGTGTGATTTTTAAAAGCGATAAAAATAACAACAAAAAAATACCAAAACAATTTTAACAATTTATTCAAAAACAATGTCAATGTAATGTGTAACATGAGGTAAATTTTCTGACAAACATTATTAAAAGGAAAAAAAAATCATCACACATCTTGGGACAAAGCAGGTGATACTGGAGGTAGCCGCAAGTAAACACACCCAGACAGTAATGTAGAGAACTAAACTTAAAATGTCCCCAGTCTATAGTATTAATAAAATATAATATTATAATATAGTTATATTATTTTGCACTCATCATTTACAATGTGAGTCATAAAGCGAATATTATACAGTGTTCAAAGAAAGAAAAAAAAAAAGGTCAGTGCAAAAAACACAGCTGAAAAATCACTGCAACCTATTTGGTGTTAGGAAGAGAAAATATTAGAAGTGTTAAATTAAAACAGAAACAAATGAAGATTAATAAAGGTTAAGAACCCCTGATAAACAAATTAAACAATAAAATCGACTTGTTCTGTTGTCCGAGTCACCTAATCTGAGGTCTCATATCTGCACATAGGTCATTCATCCAGTATATCTCTCATAAGAAAAGTAATGAAATTATACTTGCAATATTTGGTCATAAACTAGCATGTTAGTTTCTGTTAAGCATGCTACTATCTGTTAAGCTTCTACAACTTTATAAGAGTATGTTTCATGTAGTTCACGAAAAACAAACAGAAATTTCACAATGCTTAAGTAAAACGCTTAAATGTGTATATGTCAAAACATTAAATTCACCATATTCTCATAGTAACATAATGGATATGACTTCTAGATCTGTATAGAGGTATGGAAAAATTCATCCTGAAGAAGAACTATGCTGTGAGTGGAAGTGGTTTTAAGTACCCGTATCTGACAAAATACAACTGGCTTGTCAATATTATTAAAGGCCTCTATTATTTGTCTGGCTGTTTGGCTCAGATGGGAGTGAGTTTTCCTGTGTACAACATCTTAAGATTTAGAACAACATGATGGTGAGAAAATGTGATTTTTTTTTTTTGAGTGAACTATTCCTTAAAAGAAATGGAAGCTCTTTCAGCCATCACTGAATTCATCTTCATTGTCACGTAGCAGATGTTTCTGGCAGTGCTCTAGAAAAGTGTCCAGGGCTATGAAGGCTTCCGCACATGGCACACAGTGATAGACTTTCTTTTCACAATCTTCTGGAATCTCAGCGAGGGGAATCCCAACTGTACACACACTACAACACCTGCATGTGTCGGCTGGTTGATGACACTCTTCAGGGGCTTCCTCATGGACGTTCTCATGGACATGCAGCTCAGCTTTGGAGCTAAAGACCTGGTCGCATGACGTACAAGGGTACTCAGCATCCTCACCATCACTGTCGTCCTGCTTAACCATTTCAGCTGCTTCTTCTTGCTTAGTTTCTGTCAAAACAGGTAGATTTTTGGTCCTAGCTCTACCTCTCTTTGAAGGTCTATTTTCTTGGGAAGGTCTGAGATCCTTGGCTGCCTTTGGGTGAAACCCAACTGCGTCAGCGCCGGATGATTTGCCACTCAATTTAAGCTGGGTCTGATGGTGAGAGCTGTAGTGTCTAAAATGCGCCCAACGCGTCAGATGGTGCAGGAACTCTTTTCCGCAGTGGAGGCATGGATATGTTTCACCTTTCTGCCTTTGCCTGGTGGTCTTCAAAGAGGTTCTCTGCAGTTTCCTCACCTTTATCTCCCGCCGGTGTTCCTCTTTCCTGTGCTGATGGAGCAGTGATGTCTTAGGAAATGATTTGTCACAGGAACGGCATGGAAACAACATACTTGATTTGAGAACTCTATTCTTCTCCATGCTGCTTTTCATGTGCGTGTGGGAAAAGCGCATGTGGCAAGCAAGTCCAGTAGAAGAACGGAACGTTCTGGTACACAAAGTGCATGTGGTAAGAGATGCGGTGGTTTTTGGAGGAGATGGAGGCAAGGAGGCGTATGAAGGTGAAGGAGGTTTGAGAGTCTTGACAGGCTGACAGCCTCCGGCCTGCTGATGGTGCAGCAGCCCTTGCTTGTGGCTGAAGGCTTGTCCGCATGGGGCGCACGCATAGGGGCTGTTGTCATGATAGAAGGGATCTTCTGAAGATTCAGTCCCGCAGGAAGGGCAAGACGAACCCCCTTGAGGTTTCCCCCTGCAAGTCTGGCACATGGATGAGGCGTGAGAGCATTTGTGTAGCTGCAACCTAGAGAGCAAAACAAATTTTTGGCCACAGCGTTGACAGCGATGGAGCTTTCGCAGGGCGTGCTCTCTTTCCTGGTGACGCACAAGACTGTTCAGGTCGGAGAATTTGTGGCCGCAGTCTTTGCAGATGGATGAAGATGGCTGTGATTTTGGTTTGTACTCGATGCAAGTGATCAGTTGAGCCAGTTTGGATAAGGTGTCTGACATGGGTCTAGCCCTAGTGGGGATCTGGTCACATTTTGCTCCATTCCAACACTGTACAGAATCCATATTCCTAAATGAAAATAGAAAAATATAAAGCAAATTAATCATATTTTGATTTGGATTCTATTGCTATACATAAATGTGTATACATACACAAACACACACACACACACATATACATATATTGCATTATCTCCCATTCAGTCTAGCCAACTTAATATTTGTGTTATGGTTTTCTGGAAATACAAGCTTTTTAATAGCAATGCAATAACTGTTAAATATAAAATAATATTATAATAAAATATTATACTAAAATAAATAAAAATAAGTAACAAATAAAGAAACAAATTAATATTGCTATATAATGAAGACACCTAGATAAAGTGCATGCAGCATTACTGTAACACAGGATTGCTAGCCGTCTTGCTACGCTTCTGGCATGCAACTGACATACAAACATACCCGCTAGAGGACTTTGTATCATACAAAATGGGTTTCTCTCCCATCTATGTGGACATTACAGCAGGTGTTTTTAGGTTCATAAACGCAAAATGTAAATTAAAATAGAATACATTAAATAAGGCAAATTTATACAAAACATATTTTTAAAAAAATAGTTTTAAGATATAGACAAGATATAAAACCAAGGAATATAATTTAAAATAGAATACATAAAAATATTTCTATAATAAATTATAGAATTGTATAATAAGCTCTGTAATAAACCTTATAAGCATAAACCTCATGATAACAGTTTAGAAATATATAACACGTTTGATTATCAATTATTCTACGTACATTTAGAAAATGTAGTTTCACAAATACCATAATTATTACAGTTATAATAAAAACACAGCCGCAACTGTCATAATAAAAAAAAAAGTAAATAAAGTGACAGAAAGATTATGACAGCTTTTTATACTAGGATATTTATTAAGATTTTTACAGTAGGAACAACAAGTAAGGAGGATTTTATGGTTGCAATGGTAACTGGTTTTGGAAGATTTTTAAATAGTTTAATATGACTGTAGATCACAGATTTTGTAGCATGGCTTATGGGAAGATGCTTTATATTATGGTAATATTATGTTTTTTGGACACGTACCACAGTACAGTTATACTAATTATTTCATTATTTCATGAATATACTAATTATTTCATTCAGTACCATATTATGATGGTGTAACCACCACAGACCGTTCCTGTCTGTACTGCATGCATTGTATTTATCAGAATCCTGTTTTTTTTTTTTGTATGTCAGACACCTGTCCTCCTGCGGGATCTTGATGACCCGTCATCCTCGCGCTCTCTGTCTCACTGAAGTGGGTTTGACTCCCACTCATCACAGGAGATCTTTCATCAGCCTCACCAATAAGAGAAAAGAGTATTCAGAGAGGAGAATACTAGGGTAAGTTGCCTAACTAATTCTAGGGTAGGTTAAGATTGACCCAGTGTCTGATCCTGAACAATGACCCCTTCTTCTTTCCTCAGGGAGGATGAAGATAAGCTTTTGTGGTGTTGAATAATAAATTAACAGAGCTGTATTGATCTAGTGGAGGCGGAGCAGCTGGAAACAAAGATCTAAGACAGGGACATAAATACCTAACCATTAATGAAAAAAAAAATAAATGAAATAAAATAGAACAAAACACATTTATAGCTTTTTGTATTGGGCAAAAATAGCCGTATCTGTATTTATTTTGTGTATTTTATTGAAGTGTAATTTTTGGTATTCTTTATATTTTTATATTATTTTATATTTTTAGTTTTAGTAATTAAATTTTTTCATATTTCTATTTAGCTCTAATTTAATTCCAGTTTTAGTTTAAGTACTTCTTAGTACTTCACTTTAAACTATTTTATTTCAGTTAGTTGCCAGTGCAACATTAATCATTTTCATTTCTAAAGTTTTTTAAGTTTGTTTTTCATCTAATATTAAGATTTTATTTGATTTCCGCTCTATTTCAATTGGGGGAAAAAAAGATTCTAAATTGATTTAGTTAATAACAGCAACACTTTTATTGTCTGTTTATGAAAGTATTTGTATTTATTTCAACTTGAGACTCAATTGACCCTTCGCAAAGACCACCCGCCTCCCTTAGTTACTGTTGCTACGTCCGACAAACCATGGCGCTCTCACGCCACACATCATGTTTCACTCACGCAGTGAAAAATACATTGCGAAGCAAAGAGGACACTGACAACGCGCCAACAAGACAGAGCAGGTTACTTTTGGTATTTAATATAGTCTCAGCTTTCAAATTTTGTCGTTTTTTTAAAGAAATGTTAACAATAAATACAGTTTTGTGGCTCTTTAATGTGTCATGACAGATCGCTGTAGCGCCTCGGTTCAAGCAGCACGCGAACCGATCATCTCTTCCTCTTCACTAGTTATAGCACGAAACAAACATGAATGAACATAAGAAGGTATCTTGTTTCAACCAGGGAAAGACGTCAATACACACTATTTTTCAAGTTCAAGTCCACCAACATTAATCTACTCTCCTGTCTGGTTTGTTTGTCGGACAAAATGGCAGATTCGGCGTTATGATTGGTCAGATCACCTGTCAATCAAACTCCCTGCAAAGGGTCAGTTCTAAATTAAAAAGATGTACCTGTATTTTGTTCTTTAGGTACTCAATGCAAGAGATGTATGATGTGGTAGCCAATGTGGATGACTACAAACACTTTGTACCGTGGTGTAAAAAGTCCCAAACCATCATGAAAAGGGCCGGTCATGCCAAAGCTCAGCTGGAAGTGGGCTTCTCTCCTGTTGTTGAGCGATACACTTCAATGATAAGCCACGTCCGTCCACATCTGGTCAAAGTAAGTCGCCCTGTGTGCTTTACAACATCTTTAATATCATCACTGAAATGAAAAGTTCAAATTTGGTAAATAATTCAATTTCAACCCATCCCATTTCAGGCAGTGTGTTCGGACGGTAAACTCTTCAATCATTTAGAGACAATATGGCGGTTCAGTCCCGGTATTCCTGGCTATCCTCGCACATGCACTGTAGACTTCTCTGTAAGTATCGTTTACAAACGTTTGCTTCCAGTTGACTCTTCGCTTAGCCACACCCCCCTTGGTTACTGTTGCTAGGTCAGACAAGCTTGCAGAATGTAAAATAGAGACTTCTGCACAGTTTTGGGGTAAAAATCAGTTTACAACTATCCAAACATGCAACACTTTCATACATTTTAATCAGACAAAAAAAAAATGTTTATAAGTTTCAGTTTTATAAGTTTTAGTGATTTTGTTGTGCGTTATTGGTTTTATTAGTTTTTGATTTTTATATATCTAGTTAGTTTTTATTCATTATTATTTCAGTTTTAAGTAATTTTAGTACATCACCTTAAAGGGTTAGTTCACCCAAAAAAGAAAATTCTGTCATTAATTACTCACCCTCATGTCGTTTCAAACCCGTAAGACCTTCGTTCATCTTCGGAACACAAATTAAGATATTTTTGATGGAATCTGAGAGCTGTCTGACCCTGCATAGACAGCAACACAACTGAAATGTTCCCAAGTCCAGAAACGTAGCAGGGAGATCTGTAAAATAAGAGCTACGAGCTACGAGAATACTTTTTGTGCGCAAAAGAAAAAAAAAAACATTTCAGTTGCATTGCTGTCTATGCAGGGTCAGACAGCTCTCAGATTCCATCAAAAATATCTTAATTTGTGTTCCGAAGATGAACGAAGGTCTTACCGGTTTGAAACGACATGAGGGTGAGTAATTAATGACAGAATTTTCTTTTTTGGGTGAACTAACCCTTTAAATTGTGAAAATTAGAAACTTGGCGGAAATAAAATAAGTTTTTTTGTATTTTATTTTATTTCACTTAACGTTTATTTAGTTTCAATTAATGCACATGCTATAGTTTTAATTAGCGATAACACTAGTAGGCAGTAATGTTTTATCGAGGAGTCAGTGTATGTTAGGAAGTCAACTCACCGTGTCTCTTTCTCTCTGGATGTTGTTGGTTTTCCTCAGATCTCGTTCGAGTTCCGCTCATTGCTGCATTCGCAGTTAGCGACGGTGTTTTTCGACGAGGTGGTGAAGCAGATGGTGGCCGCGTTTGAGCGGCGAGCCGGCAAACTCTACGGACCCGAGACGAGAATACCCCGCGAGCTCATGTTTCACGAGATCCATCAAATGTGAGATGCACCTTCATACTGGACTCCTAGAACTCTTTAGACCGTTATCACATGACAAATCAGATCACTAGATTACTTTGGGATGGTAGCAGAGATACCATTTACTTTTAGAAAAAGATTTCAGTTCATCTGAGGTACTGTACCTTCTACGTGTATTTTTTAATTTTTTCTTTTGCTTTTTGAATGTGAATGAAGATTAATTGATTATTGCAGCCCTGACTGGTAAGATTTGAAAGTTGAAGTTCAAAAAACGGACACTTGGACGTTTCACTAGGGTTTCATCTGGTTTACTCTTTTTGTCTTGCTGCGAGATAATTGGGGCCAACTCTGACTGATTACTGAAACTGAAAGGAATATTTTAGGTGAAATCTGTCGCACGCTGTTGATTACCACACAACATTGTTTTGATTTGTACCTCAGATTTTATAAACAAACAATAAAACATGTACAGCACAAGCATTGTTTACTTTCCCCTTGCAAATGCGCAGCTGTTGATGATTTTTATGGTTTTAAGTCAATATTATTTTGTGTGGTAATCAACGGCATGCAAAAGGCACAGATAAACCCAGAATATTCTTTCTCAAACGAATCTTCATATACCTAAATATTAATATAGTGAAAATACAGACCTACTTGATTTCCACACTGCACTGAATTTATAATATTCATCTCAAGAAATCACACTCGGAGGTTTGTTACTCCAAACACAACTGTAAATATAATAAAAATTAATTATGCCGTTAGAGTGACCTCAAATGTTTTTCTCACCTAAATATTTATCCTCATAGACAACAAAAAACTTTTGTTTATAGAAGTAGTGCATTGTAATGAAAAAAAAATTAAGAATTATATTTAGCATGCTTTTGCTTTCTTTGGATGCATTCATACAAACTCAGGGCTTTGGAGAAATTCAAAGGAAAGAAATGTAAGAACTCAACCTGTTGTTCCCTAATAGTGATCCCAGTTTGTGCCTGTTCATGTAGACTGTGCCATTTCTGTTTTGTTGCTACATTAATGTTTAAACACTACTGTATTTGTGTTTTGTGATTTCTTGAAAAGCTACAGTATGAGCTGGCGAAGCATCAGATACAAGCAGAGCGGTTTCTTTTTTTCAACATTTATTTCATGAGATTTTGTTATTAGCCATTTCAATGCCTTATGTGAGTGTTCATGGCATTTATAAATGACTTCAAATAATGTAATTGTCAAGATGTTGATTGGTAATTTACTTGTGCTGTATCAAACACCTGTCTAAGAGTCTTCCGTGGAAATAACGTCACCGTCAGTAGATTTCTAGGGTTTGTCATAAAAACACCTTGTTAGATGTCAGAATGTTTGGTTGAAGGACTGTGAATAAGAACCAAAGAGATGAGCAGTGCTTCATAAGAGCAAGAAGAGCAGTTTTAGAAATTCTCTCTGAAATGAATGTTGTCTGTTCAGTAAACCTTAATTCTCGGTCAACAGGCCTGTCGTCAGTGTTATAATCTTGCACAAGCATTTCTTTTGAGAATCTGTACATTTATTTCCAAACAAATATTTTGTGTGTTTTACTTGAACTGCTTGAGATTCATTAGGAGGCCGATTTCCTGCTTTGAATGATGACGTATTTGATCTTGAAGTACACATGGTTTCTTACCTCGGAGTGGTAGCTCTATGATTGAATCCTATGTTGAGGAGATACACGGGTACTTGTGAAAACGTAACGGTGATGCAGTACCAGGGAACAAAGAATACAAAGTGAAACCAGCAGTGGAGGTTGAGGAAATCTGAGGAAGGTGGTGGTATCTGGGTCATGTATTTATAACCGCATGAGAGCTGCCCTGACCTGAAGATCGTTTCCATGCAGATCTTTAAACAAAATTCACCATTAAAACGGAATTTAAAATTGATTAGTTAAAGAAGAATGACCAGGCTTCGATCTTATCGAGACAATACTGCACATAATTTGAGCAATAACCATCTTTGTGTGCACATCATTTATAGAATAAAGAGGTAGTTCACCTAAAAATGAAAATTCTGACATTATTTACTCACCACATGTTTTTCCCAACCTGTATTTATTACTTTCTTCTGTGGAACATAAAAGATATTTAGAGAAATTTCTTTCTTTTTTTTTTTAGTACAGTTAGTATTATGTATTATAGCTTTTTTAAAATTTTGAATTTGTATTATTTTTTTGTTTGTTTCATTTTAACTTTTACAAATTTTTATATCTATATAGCTTTATTTTTTTTACTTAAGTGCATGTAATTTTAGTATTTCAATTTAGTTTTTTTTTTTTTTTTCCAAATTTTTATTACAATCGCTGAAAAATACTTGAATGTTTTTAGTTGTAGTCTTTTTTTTACCTCGGTGGTAGTTTTATGATTGCTAATCAGCTGGGTTACACTAGAATTCAATGTTGAGGAGATGTTGAGGAGGTAACTTACTTGTGAAAACGTAAGTGGCGCAGTACCAGGGAACAAAGAACACAAAGTGAAACCAGCAGTGGAGGTTGAGGAAATCTGAGGAAGGTGGTGGTATCTGGGTCATGTATTTATAACCGCATGAGAGCTGCCCTGACCTGAAGATCGTTTCCATGCAGATCTTTAAACAAAATTCACCATTAAAACGGAATTTAAAATTGATTAGTTAAAGAAGAATGACCAGGCTTCGATCTTATCGAGACAATACTGCACATAATTTGAGCAATAACCATCTTTGTGTGCACATCATTTATAGAATAAAGAGGTAGTTCACCTAAAAATGAAAATTCTGACATTATTTACTCACCACATGTTTTTCCCAACCTGTATTTATTACTTTCTTCTGTGGAACATAAAAGATATTTAGAGAAATTTCTTTCTTTTTTTTTTTAGTACAGTTAGTATTATGTATTATAGCTTTTTTAACATTTTGAATTTGTATTATTTTTTTGTTTGTTTCATTTTAACTTTTACAAATTTTTATATCTATATAGCTTTATTTTTTTTACTTAAGTGCATGTAATTTTAGTATTTCAATTTAGTTTTTTTTTTTTTTTTCCAAATTTTTATTACAATCGCTGAAAAATACTTGAATGTTTTTAGTTGTAGTCAACAATAACAACACTGCTCCATTGTTGTTTGATTCCCAACGCGCCTTTGCAAACAAAACAACAAAAAATCACAGCTATTGAAATGTAGTATATGGTTTGATTTGTTAAAACAAGTAGCACCCAGATTTACTTTATACATTTATATTTGTACATATCCAAATTATTCCAAATTACTCCAAATACATGACAATTATGAATTGTAAGGCAATATATCAACTACACTCTTAATAATAAATGTTCCAAAAACAGGTTTTCATAGCAATGACATATAGAACCATTCTGAGTTCCACAAAGAAGCTTTCACCGAACAGTTCTTAAAAACATTTTTATAATCTAAAGAACCTTTTGTGTGCATTGAAAAGGTTCCATGGATGTTAAAGGTTTTTCATGGAACTGCAGATGCCAATAAAGAAACTTTGTTTTTAAGTGTATCTTATTTGGCTTGGGTTAATAACTTTACATTGGCATTTGAATTATGGACAGCTGAATAGTAGAACATGACCGAATTGGATTGATAACAGAATAATCTTGTTCATATAAGCGGTCACTGAGTGAAGGGTTATCATGTTAAAAAAAAAAAAGAGGAAGAAAAGATAAAGTCCAGATGGTTTGTTAAAAACATTTATTGGTTTTCCTTTTTTGTCAAGTTTTCCCATTTTCTTTTTTGTTCGCCTAAGCTTCTTTTTCCCCAAACAATCCAGACTCATTTCTCCCATTCTCTTGTTCCCCTCCCCATTTGCCCTGGTCAATCCGACTTCAACCAATCATCTCCATATTCACATTCCTCCTTATTTAAATTAACCCGACAGAGCATAAGCCAATCATGTACATCATGATGAAAACAGTCACACTGGAAAAGGGCACGGCAAACTGGACAATTATTCTCACACCATTAGATGAGAAGGAAATGATGATTGGGGGAAAAGTGCCATTGAGTTAATGGAGTGCTTATGGACTGACTAGCTAAAATAGCTGCTAGACTATCAAAAAAACAAAAAAAAAAACAAGAGTAAGCGTGCAAGAGAGCAGGACCCGTGTGCATCACAGCAGTACATGTCATGTACAAGTCATGTGTTAAATTATATTAAAGGTATAGTATACTTAAAATAGGGTTAAGTGAGTCATCATAGATAAGTGGTTTAACTAACGGGGATGGTGAGACAGTGTTTTGATATGCAGTTCATACATTCAAGCTATATTTACATGAATAAATAAAACCACAACTTATGTATACCTACACAAAATGATAGCTTTTCTCTATACAAGACATCATTCTTCAAAACACGGGGAAAAAAAGACACTATAACTCTAAACAGGTAAAAAGTAGCAGATTTTGAGCGCTCTTGGATGAACGTACAAATAAACGCCACAAATTTGACTTGCTCTCAAGTTGGTACACGAATCACCTGCGACTACACTAACTTGTGTGAATGACACAAATCTTTAACAAATCAAAGCCAATATGTCCACTGATGAAATTCAGAAGGACTGGTCATTTCAAATAAAGAGGGCACCACATGTGCTTCCAAACAACAGACAGGAAAATGAAGACGATTGGTTGAAGTCAGAGAGCAATATGAGAGATAACTTAAAGGGCCAGTACCCATTTAAACAAATATACAAGCTTCCCAAGTTGAACTGAACTCATGGAATCAATTCTATTGAGAGAGGACCGTATTGCCATCATGGAGTGCTCTTACGAGGAGAAACGTGATGTTAGCTAGAGGGACGCCTAGTCAAATTTCGTCAAATTATCACAGGCTCAGAGCAGGGTGTTGACAATTCAATTCACTCATACAAACAAGAGGCTCAAGTGAACATCTGATCTCAGGAGAGTAAAAATACAAGGCTAAAACTGAAATAATTGTTATGAGAGCTGAGGATAAAGGCTTTATTTACATACCAGGCGAACTAACTCTTCTGAACTAGTATTTAATAGACATTAGTTTAAATAAGGGGAGAGGTGATTTCTGGAAAGACGCATCACTCTCGACTGTGTTCTTGGACAATAACACAGCCTTCTCCATCAAACCACCTCGCTACATCCATAGCTGCGTCATACGGTCGGAAAAATCTGCAGGAAAACTTAAGAGGAGTGACCGCAAGCAATGACTGTGTAATGCGTCTACACATTTCTTGTGAAAAAGTTTAAATATGCATTTTGGGGAAGAAAGACTAATAAAGTGTAAATGGCATGTGTAATCTTGACGTTATATTAATAAAGGCCTTTTTTAGATGAAATTTAAGTGTACCGTCTCTTTAAATCCCTTAGCCCAGGGTCTTGTTTCTAATATTTTAAGTTCCTCCCCTCCCTGTCCCCACTTCGCTGGCATGGTCCCTCTCTAGCCTGATTTGGCCCCAACTAGAGCCATGAGTCCGTCCGTGCTCATGGACTTGGGACGCTCCAGAGGGAAGCCGAGCGCTCTGCTCCACACCAGCTGGGAGAGGACGCCCAAAGCCCGGGATACGCCAAACAACACAGTGTAATAGTTCATCTCAGTCATGCCATAATACTGCAAAACACAAGAGTAAAAACACAAGATGAATTTCAACTGAGCAAGCAGAAAAATAGATAAAAGAAAAAGGAACAGGTAACTAACTCTACTCATTTCGACCATATATTCAATGGGATATTTTTATATTTGGTCAGTTTACATAAAAGGTTAAATATAGGTTTAAATAAAATTATTCTTCATTAATAATCTAATTATAATACTAATATTATAATTATTATAATAGTTTTTAAAATAATATCTTTATTGCGCATATACACACATTTGTGTGTGTGTGTGTATATATATATATATATATATATATACACACACACTTTTTTTAGTTATACAAGACATTAAACCAGCACATTATGTCAATTGGCTGGGAAAATGTTTACCGTTTAGCATTTAAAACAGCTGTGTAATAGGACCAAGTATATTTATGAAGAAAGTAAATTGGGTAAATCACCTTTTAATCACAAATTTATATGAATTACTGGATAGTTTCTGGTTTCTTACTTGCAACAGGACTCCGCTGTGGGCATCTACATTGGGCCAGGGGTTCTTAGCCTTGCCCTGCTCCAGAAGCACGTTGGGTACGATCTTGTAGAGTTGAGCTACCAGCTTGAACATGGGGTCGTTGGGAAGGTGCTTGAGGGCAAACTCACGCTGACAGGTATAGCGAGGATCGGTCTTCCTCAGTACAGCGTGGCCATAGCCTGGCACCACCTGAACAATGACACGAGAGAACAAACGGTGTGAATGATAATCATCCATCATATTTCGATCAATCTGCATTGAGTTTTTGTGCTGATGCATTTCCTATTGAATTGGGAAATAGCAACGGCACTCACTCTGCCTGATTTGAGCGTGTTCCAAATGTAATCTCTCATTTTCTCATCGGACACCTCACCACCGAGCTCCTTCTGCAGGGCTGTCAGCCATACCAACACCTCCTATAGGACACAGGAAGACATTAAAGAAATGCAAAGCTGGTTAGTACTTTATATGTCCTGTATGTAAGTAAGCACATTAAGGCTCAAACCTGATTGGCCAGTCCGTGCAGGGGTCCGGCCAGACCATTCATAGCAGCGCTAAAGGAGAGGTAGGGGTCGGACAGGGCACTGCCTACCAGGTGACTAGTGTGTGCGCTGACATTTCCACCCTCATGGTCACTGAAATGGAACAAAAGCACACAAAGAGGTTAAGGTTGCGGTCAAAGGACACTAAACTAGGTCAGACTGGTAAACAAACATAACCGCAAGAGGGCAGACTTGATTCCCTTATCGAAAACAGTCATTCGTCTTCCCCTTTCTTTCCTAACAAAAGATGTACACTAGCATGTTGAATGTTTTCTTGCTGACTGAACAAAATGTGCACAGTCTACAGTCACTGATCAAAGGGAAACTGAAAGACATCAATAAACCACACAATCATTTTTCAAAATTAAACTGTATAATGTGTGAAAGTTTAGCACCATTAACCATCATGAGAGAATTAATGTGCTGGTAACTTTGGTAACTGGTAAATTTGACAACATATATAGAAAATTATGTACTAAAAAAAGACAAGTATAAAATTTTATATATAAACAAAATCTTGTCTACTTTTCAAAATGTTAAATAATTATATGAAACTCTTAATCATATCTAATCCCATATAAAAGCACTTCAATTGCATCCATTTAATAAGCAATAAAAGTGATAACTGGTTTTGATAGCACAGATAGTAGGTCTCACTGGTCCAAAGTCACTTTCCACACAGCTGTATATTTAACATCAAATATCCAACAATTATCTTGATTAATCTGTCAATTATTTATTAATCCACAGCTTTATCGTTTAGCACCATTAACCATCATGAGAGAATTAATGTGCTGGTAACTTTGGTAACTGGTAAATTTGACAACATATATAGAAAATTATGTACTAAAAAAAGACAAGTATAAAATTTTATATATAAACAACTTTTCAAAACTACTTTTCAAAATGTTAAATAATTATATGAAACTCTTAATCATATCTAATCCCATATAAAAGCACTTCAATTGCATCCATTTAATAAGCAATAAAAGTGATAACTGGTTTTGATAGCACAGATAGTAGGTCTCACTGGTCCAAAGTCACTTTCCACACAGCTGTATATTTAACATCAAATAACCAACAATTATCTTGATTAATCTGTCAATTATTTATTAATCCACAGCTTTATCAATGATCGCTGCAGCCCTAGAAAATTACTACACACTGCTAACTTGTCCAAGCTGGGTTTAGCATGTTAAGCAGATTGTTTGCATTTAAGATTACACCAATGCTCTTCACTCCCTTTTTTTGGTTCAGATAATAGCAGTTCTTCTACAAATAGCTAATTTACAGTATTGTACTAGTGGCCTGAATGATCCAGTTTGGTAATGGACATTAGATGCATTCAGGTCTCCCAGCAGGGCTGGAAGCACAAGCTTTACTAATGTGCTTTTCTCCCTGAGGCGGAGGTAAAAATCTTGACTCCTCATAGAGAAGAGAAGACAGATTTTCTGAGGGCAATCACAAAGGTCAAAAGCCAAGCAGACCTCACTCCTTATGACTGCCTCGAACGAACCAGTAGAGGAGGAGTTTGTGACGAATGAGTGAGTGAGTGAGTGAGTTTATAGGTCATCACCTGTGGATGGTGAGGTAGAGCCTCATGAGTTCTGTGAACTGTGGATCGCTGTAGCCCAGCATGTTGGTGAAGTTGTGTGACCAGTCCAGGTTGGAGTCGATGGCACCGATGCTGCTGCCTTCACGGTACAAATTACGGTAGATCTTGGCCGCCACGCAGGGGAGCTTGGCAATCAAGTCCATGGAGTCCTCGTACACAAACTACACAGAAATGGCATGAATTTTTGTGAATGACTCACTCACATTACATAGCAAATAATTATCTTAGTCAAGAGTTGTTTTAGTCATAGTATTTATCGTTACACACTTCACCTTTAAAGTTTCTAGCACAAATATTTTATTTTATTTTATTTTGCATCTGAAACTGACAGCCAGTCTTTTTTCTATAGAAAAAAAAAAGTGGACTTACCTAATTTTGATGTCCATGGGTGATTTCTACGACAGCATGTTCCTACATTAATCATGCAACTTGATTTTTTTTTTAAAGTATAAATATATTGATTGTTTTGGAAGTTGCATTTTAAAAATTAACTTGGATCAAAAAAAATCATTTAAACTGGTTTTCTAAATCACTACTACTTTCCAAAACGCTAAACATGGTCAAGTTACTTGAAGAAGATTCAACTAAACATTGAAGAGAATCATTTCCAGAAGCATGAACATGTGGACAAACAATCTTTATATTACACGCACAAATGGAGGTTTTAGGTTATCGTTAGACAATCCTCGTCAAGTTTTTGGTTAGGCCTGGTTTAGTTTCACTCACCCCCACAGAGCCCGCAGTTCATAATAGGTGCTTTGTGCAATGAACTGACAATGAACTTGCCTGATGTATTTGCATGTTGGATCAAGATATGACGTATGCCATTTTTAGCAGTTATCTGCTAAATGACTAAATGTAAATGTAAAGTAAATATTTTCTGTGACTCACCTCCCAGTACTTGGCCTTGTTAACTCCCTCAGAGTACGCCCGAGCGAAACTGCTCTCGCTGTTCAGAGCCGTGACGGCAGCACTGAACTGAGACATGGGGTGCAGGTTGGTGGGGAAGTTGTCCAGCATGGTGACCACGTGAGAGGGAAGAGCCGCACGCTTAGCCCACTCCTTAGACAACCAATTCACCTGAGAAAACAGCCGACAAAGTTAAATAAAAGGCAAAATATTTTTGTGGCATGTTACTATGACTGCCATCTGTAATGAAAATGGTCTCAGAGGATAATCTAAATTTCTTAAAAGTCTTTGTTTTATTCAACAGATATTTTTATTTATGGTTGCCTGTTCAGGGTCACAATTTGATTAACATCCCAACAAGACAAACAGTTTTTCACCATTTTTGTGTTCAGGATTTTTTGGGCGGGACTGAAATCATGTATCGATGATGCCCTGGAGCCACTGAGCATGGCCCCTCCCCTAACACTATAATATGTTGGCATGTAAACCATGGCATGGTTTCAGCCCTGACAGCAGACACGCCCCCAGTGTTTGAGAGCAGAGAATACCGCTTGCTTTTTCAAGATTTTAATACCTTATTTTATTTACTTGGTGTTTTTTTTTTTTTTTTTCCATTCAAATTTGGCTGGGTGGTTAATAACACATTTTTCTGTGGTGTGACAATCTCAGAACACGTATTTAATATTGCTTTACACAGACTTTAATGTAATTGTCAATCTCAGAGCATGTCTACAATGAGTCACAGCTATAAAAAGATTACATAATCTTGCAAATCACATAAGATGGTGGAAAAGATAAAGATACATTTTCTTTTAAACTGACAGATTTAACATTGTTTCACTTATATGAGAAGAACTGTACGGAGGCCCTAAAAGGAACATGGTGGTGGAAAAAATATGGGGTGGGAGAAAAAATTTATTTTCGAATCTTTTGCTTTCTCTCACAAAACATTTGCATTCCCCCGAGAAACTTTGCATTCTCTCGCAAAAATGTTTGCATTCCCTCACAAAGATATTTGCGTTCTCTGGCAAAACCAGTTGAGTTCGGACAAACACTTCCTGCTTACTTTACAGCTTGCAGTGGTTCATACAGCCTGAAGAAATACAGTCAGTGCTTAGTTCGAGTCACGGTTTTAGTTTATTAATAAAATATACTACATAGCCTACAGGAAAGCAGATAAGCCCAGAATATGAACAGAAAGCGCTAAATTGCACGTTAGAGCTGGGCGATTTTTCCAATTTTATCAATTAATTCGAATTTAATGTTTTGCCACAATTTTATTTTTAGAAATCGAAGAATCGCGATTTTGAATAGAAATATTACCAACCGTTAGAATTAGACACTTTGAGAATATGCCAGTGATAACAGTAAAAAGAAAAGAACGATCCAACCGCATGTCGGCGCACGTGATTAACCGCTCACGTGTGACACGCTCATATCACTAGGCGCCACTCACTAACACAGAATGCGCTTTTGTGTTGACAAAGATGTGATGTGGGCAGTGGAATAGGAAAAACATGCAAGAAGATAAGAGTGAACTTCTTTTAACTTGAGCGCCTAGACTGTATGCTCGAGCGCCGCGTTTATAGAATGCCGTTTCATGCATGAGACGCTGCAATTGATGCGAGTGCAACAGTCAAACACGTCCATGTTTACATAGAAAAAATGGAAAAGCAGCGCAAGCGAATAAAAAACCTGTAACTACTGTATGTCTGATATTTCATGTTTGCATCATGGTGACAGGCTGCAAGCTGCTGTTGTTTTTATTGAACATTTATAGATAAGGAAAGGAAAGGACGTGATGTGTGGCCAAGTATGGTGACCCATACTTGGAATTTGTGCTCTGCTCACGTGTGACACGCTCATATCACTAGGCGCCACTCACTAACACAGAATGCGCTTTTGTGTTGACAAAGATGTGATGTGGGCAGTGGAATAGGAAAAACATGCAAGAAGATAAGAGTGAACTTCTTTTAACTTGAGCGCCTAGACTGTATGCTCGAGCGCCGCGTTTATAGAATGCCGTTTCATGCATGAGACGCTGCAATTGATGCGAGTGCAACAGTCAAACACGTCCATGTTTACATAGAAAAAATGGAAAAGCAGCGCAAGCGAATAAAAAACCTGTAACTACTGTATGTCTGATATTTCATGTTTGCATAATGGTGACAGGCTGCAAGCTGCTGTTGTTTTTATTGAACATTTATAGATAAGGAAAGGAAAGGACGTGATGTGTGGCCAAGTATGGTGACCCATACTTGGAATTTGTGCTCTGCATTTCACCCATCCAAGTGCACACACACACAGCAGTGAGAAGTAAACAAACACACACACACACACTGGGAACACACACCAGGAGCAGTGGGCAGCCAATGCTGCGGCGCTCAGGGAGCAGTTGGGGGTTCAGTGCCTTGCTCAAGGGTCTCACCTCAGTCCCGGTACTGAGGGTGGAAGAGAGCGCTGGTCATTCACTCCCCCCAACTACAATCCCTGCCGGACCTGAGACTCGAACCTGCGACCTTTGGGTTACAAGTCCAACTCTCTAACCATGGGCCACGACTGCCCCCTAATAATAATACTCTACTGGTGTGACAGAAAATAATGACAGAATTTTCATTTTTGGGTGAACTATCTCTTTAAATGCTAGGTCACTAGGACAACTGCATCAGAGCACATGTTCTAAATTGCTAGGCCACGATTCTGACAATATTTCCAACATTACACTCAGAGTTTATTTAATAAGTAAGAATGCAGTGAATATGAATATATCCTCACCTGCTCCTCAGTGGGCACCTGTCCTGTGATCAGCAGCCAGAACAGACCCTCTGGCAGCGGCTCCTCTCCACCAGGAGCCTTGGGCAACAGCTGCTGACACTCTGGAATGCTGTAACCACGGAAACGGATGCCCTACAGATGCAATCGATTAACACAGGGAGTGTGTCAGTATGTTTGATTGAATAAACACTACAGCTTCGAACTCTGAGAGGGTTCAGGGGTTAGTGGGATAACTACTGACACCAATATTTATTTATCCAAGGCACTGTGGTGCCACTTTCTATTTTTAGCTTTCAGCAGCATACTATTGTGCAAATGATGAGCTTCTATAGCCTCTTTCACACAGAGATTCCAGAAAATACACAGATAATGTGTCCCGTGATCGTTTGATTTTGGTTCATTCACACTGCCAGTGATTTTCCAGAGTCTGTGCGTGCGTTCACACACATTCCGTAAAGACACGTGACATTAGGATATAATGTGTAATGTCACGCATACCGTTTCACTAAGCTGGCGAACGATCTCCGCTTCAGCACAGATAGTGAGGAGCTCCCTGATCTTTGCATCATTCCAGTTTGCGCATATTTATTTTTTTTGTTGTGAATGTTGATCTGCCTTCAAAACACCCGGTAACCCCCGATAACGTGCGCCATCACTACGACACACCCTTTACGGCATTGGTCCTGGCTTTTGTTCACACAAGGCTTGTTCCTGGACTGATCCCAGCAATGTTACAAGGTTCCCATCCCGGGATCGTTCCCGGGACGTGTTTGCGTACACACAGAAGGCACTTTTTTGGCTATTTTCCGGGATCAACGCGCTGTGTGAAAGGGGCTTATGACACAGTAAACTTTCATCATGCATTCAAGTTTCACAACCAAACCACATAAACTGCAAATTTGACATGTCAAGGCTAAAATTTGCAGACTGAAGTCTCAAATAATTTTATGAAAGACAGGAACATTTAGACATTTTTTACTTAATTGTAATACTAACAATAAATAGTATGTATGACAAATAATTAAATATTAATAAAGTATTATACAACTATTAATAAACAACAAGATATCATTACTTATAAATACTATTTTAATATTAACTAATAATTATTTTTATGATTTTGTAATCTACAACTTTGTGACAAACCTGTAAACATTTTTTTATTAAATTAAAACAATTTAGAATTAATTACTGCATAAATAAATATAACCCAGTTTAAGACACATTTTTGTAATACCAGACAACGTATCTATCAAAAGTTGTGAGTACATAATTGACAGTATGTGTGCACTTACCTCATCGGGGTCGAGCACAGATGTCTCGTACACTAAACCCTTCATGCCTCTCATTCCTCCATAAACCTGTTATACACAAAACATGACACAAACATTATTGAAATACCTATGTCAACACCTGTTTCTGAGCTACAACCCTTCAATTTACTTTTCTGGCCTCTAGTTCAAGTGTCATATATGAGAGCAATAATGCCCCTCAGGTGCAGTTTAATCTGCAAAATAGAATAACTGGCTGTGAGACAAAGACCAAATGACTCAGCTGAAACAACGGCCATGAGAGCAGCAGCACTCACACCACAGCCTGTGGATCCTTGACAAAACAGCCATCCAATTAGAGGGCAAAAACTATTACTGTTTGTGGTGGTTTGCAGCACTACATCATGTGAGATCGGACTGGTCAACCATGTTAGGCAACATTTGCTTGTGACATCAGTCAGATGAAACAACCTGGCTGAGTTCACTAGTTGGATATTATAAATTTAAGCCAGTGATTTCAAACATGAAGTACTTAAGGTAGAAAGAATAAACTATTAGTAATAAAAATAATAATAATAATTTAAAATATTAGTAAATACTATAATAGTGTAGATATATGTATACATATAATTCTAAAATAACCCAGCATCCACAACAGGTTTATAATTATTACAACTCATTTGGTGGATTGTAATGTAGGCTAAAGTGATGACAAATAAAAAGCATACAGACATGATTTACAGTAACGGTGAATGCAGTGATGTTTCTCTCACCATGTCCACTGTGATCTGACCAACTGTGGTTTTGCCATGCTGCTGTCTGAAGTTCTTGATCCTGCTCTGTTCTTTAGGGATGAGGTCTGCCAGGACGTCTTTCAAATTCTGTATAAGGTCAAGGGAAAAAAGGTCAGTTTTCAGTTAAAGGATCAGGCACAGATTTAACAACTGTCTTGTACATGTATTATAAAAGAGGTTCTAAAAAAGTAGCCCCAGACATAGTGATAGTGACTCAACCATTCCATCAAAAGCAAGGCTGCGATCTAATCTCTGTAGTGCAATTAAAATCTAAAGTCTGGTTGTGGCTGTGATCATTGATCCGGGATATCTGAAGTGATACAAACACGTACCGTGGATGCACTGACATTTCTGGCAGCCACAACAACACATGCTGCATTCTGGAAAAGAAAGAAAAACAATGACTTTGATGAAAGATGCAATGCAGAGGAAGCTGATCGTCATAACCTGGGCTAATAGTCAGATTTCACCGCAGAAGGCCTGCTGACAGCTGCAAGGAAGGTGACTTTAGTTGCACAATGCAAAATACATCAGTTGCCAATTTCTTTGTATTCAAATTACAAGCTACTTACAAGTTTCTACTGGACCAAATGTTTTCAACTGGCTCTGAACATCAAAACCATTAAAGCATTTTTCCATCATAACATTTTACAACTTTGGCGATTAGCTGGTCTAAGAGAGTTACAGCACATTTATTGCGTAGACAAAACTGCTAGAGCAACCAGAGGTGAAGTGTGTCTTGAACTATTACCACTGTGCCATTCATTATGACCGTCTTATTTGGGGTTCAATACAATTTAATTATAGCAAAGATATACACAATGACAATATTTCACAGGAACATAAAAAGGTGCTCAGGTGCAACAGAACACGACAAATCTTGCAGAGATAGGTGTATGGATCCAACGGTTACTTCTATTACAGAATTCCTTCAGGAAGAGTTATGAGTTTATCTGCACGACTTGACCCATTCTTACATCGAGACACATCCTTCACTTCTATAGATAGCTTTAGATTAAGAGTCATGTCTGATTGACTCACAGCAGGACCGGATAAAAACTGCCACTGCAGAATGACTCAAGCACGGTCGTAAAGCCGGGTCAGATTGGCAAGGCATGTAGGGAGATAAATAGGGGGATATGATTCTCCTAACAGAATATATAGTCACTGGAATCATCATTAATCCTCTTCATACAAACTGGCAGCGGTTTATAGCATTCAGCTGTAGGTTGTGGACTACTGAAATGTTGGTTAGCTTAAAAAAAATTGATTCACCTCTGATTATTAGTTAACAGTAAATATAATCAATCACATAACTACCCAATCGTTATACATCATGTCAGGTAGTACTGAATAGACAAGCAGTGCTCACATTTTCTTTAGCAAAAATAGTGATGCACTGATATTAAAATTCTGAAGTTCAATATGTCTTTGTTTACATGTCTTTCATATCCAAAACAAATAAACATCACGCATCACATCCAGGCTTCCTTTCACCTCAAAGGTCAGACGAAGACTGAAACGAGGCTGCCGAAGCAATTGCTAATGAGAGACGAGAGTGACACACGGCTCGAAAGCAGCGGAGCTTTTATTATGCCACACTTTAGCGCTTCCGCTCCTTCCGGTCGTGTGTATGTGAGGGCAAGCAGCGCAGTTTTATCATACTAGATACGTTTGAAAGTTCTGTTATAATGCTACTCTGTGCGGTCGTCACCTGTTTAATAAAACACACAACATATTAAAGCGTCTTTGGTGTTTCCATGTTTTCTACAAAACAAAACCGGAAATCGAGGG